GCGGCCACTTGAGCTGTTGGGTGATGGCGTAGCCGTGTTCAATATCGTCCTGCGTCATAGCGCGTAGTGTGATCATGGTTGTTCCTTGCAAATGAGGTCGCCATAAATGGCGACCCTACGGGTTCAGCGCCGGTTTTGTAGGATCGCCATTTATGGCGACCTGGCATTTACTCTGCCTTCAGCACCTCTTCATGCTCATCCAGCCAGCCCTGGCGCAGTTCAGGCACCGCGCGTTTCAGGCGTTCGAAATAGAGTTCGCTGGTCGGTTTGTCATAGTCGGCGCGGGCGATTTGGGTCACTATTCTGCCCGACTTCATCACCACAATATCATCACAAACGGCGCGAACCGCATGCATGTCATGGCTGATAAACAGCACCGACAGCCCGAGCTCGCGGCGCAGTTCGCTGATCAAATCCAGCACCGCGGCAGCCACCACGGTATCTAACGCCGAGGTCACTTCATCGCACAGAATCAAATCTGGCTCCGCCGCCAGCGCGCGCGCCAGGTTGACGCGCTGCTTCTGCCCGCCGGAGAGCGCCCACGGGCGGCGCCACAGCACGGTGCGCGGCAGCTTCACCAGATCCAGCAACTGATGCAGACGGCGATCGCGATCGGCCCCTTTCAGGCCGTGGAACAGCGTCAGCGGACGCGACAAAATCTGCCCGACGCTGTGCGCCGGATTCAGCGCGGTATCGGCCATCTGGAACACATATTGGATGCGGCGCAGCTCATTGTCCGGGCGCTTATGCATGTCGCCATTGATGTAATGACCGTTAAACAGAATATGGCCGTGACTCGGCGCGTTCAGTCCAGCAATGGCATGCGCCAGCGTGGTTTTACCCGAACCGGACTCGCCAATAATGCCAATCGCCTGCCCTTTCCACAGCTTCAGATTGATGTCTTCAAGAATGCGAATTTTAGAATGGCCATTGCTGTCGCGCGGGCCATAACCGGCGCTGAGATCGCGCACTTCCATCAGCGGCTGCATGTCCGCCTCGGCGCAGGTCCAGCTGCTTGGGCGCTCTTTCTGTCGCGCCGCCTCCATCAGCAGTTTGGTGTACTCCGCTTGCGGGGCGCCAATCAGTCGTTCGGTGGTGCCGTACTCCGCCATCTGACCGCGCAGCAGCACCAGAATACGATCCGCCATCTGCGCC